TTTCTGTAAACTTCCATTAAAATTACAATTAAAATAAAAAATTGTATTTCAATAAAAGAGCTAATAGTTATGAAGAGAAAAAGTTCAAGCTGTACTTCTGAAGGCATTGTAAACATAAGTTATGTAAAACAGTTGTTTTTTAATGGCACCTCAAAGCCCCATCTTTGCCCACCACCCACTGGACTGCAAGCAGTACTAATACACAAAATCACAGAGTGTGATGGTATCAACTTGCCAACCTCTGCAATCTACAGAAATGGCTGCCAAACCAGTAGGTGGCCTCTCACGTCTCAAAGAAACTTATGTAGATATATAAGTAAAATGAAGTCAGTTTAAAGTGTTGTGACTATCAGGACGCCATAGGCTGGTTGTTGTGGGTCATGGTTTCAAAGCTGACTTCTATCTCTGGCAATGCCCAAGCCACATAATTTACAGAAGGGGGAAGGGGAAAAATAGAATGAAAGACAGAAATTAAGTGGCTATTTTCTAGCACCAGGAGAGAGAGAGAACACATAAATTACTATTTCAGTTAAAATGGGTTAAAAAAAAAAGTAGGACATTACTTGAAAAAAACAAAACAAACTTACTGGTCTGAAAGAGATAAGACTATTGTCCTGAGACAACCTTCTAACTTGAAAGTGAAGATAACACTCCCAGAGGCTGTCTTTCAGCCAATAGTAGATGGGGATATAAAATAACAGCACTCGTACATCTTAACAGTAATCAACTCTATGGGACCAAAGGGCAACATTTGCCACAAACTAAAAATCAGAAGACAGGAGCAGGAAAGCAGCCGAATGTAAATGAGAAACCCAGGGAAGATATGACACATTGCAGGGGCTGCAACTAAAATGATGGAATGATTAGTGTGGGAATTAATGGTTTGAAAATATACTATGTCAACGCTTACCTGAAGCACAATACAAAGGTTGTTTGGAAGGGAGGGTAAGGTCTTTATTGTTGTTATTGTTATATGCCATTGAGTTTCCTGCAACTCATAGCCGCCCTATGCACAATAACTGAACCCTGTTCTGTCCTGAGCCAATCTCACTGTCTCTGACATACCTGTCCCTATTTCCCCAGTTACTGTGTCAACCCATCTCATCCAGGGTCTTCCTCTCTTGCACTGTATCTCCACCCTTCCAAGCAAGGTCCTTCTCCAAGGACTGGCTCCTCCTGGCAACATGCTCAAAATACGTGAGATGGAGTTTCAAAATCCTTGCCTCCAGAGAGCAACTTGGTTTCACCCTCTCCAGGACAGACCTGTTTGTTCTCCCGGCAGTCCATATGTTCAATATTCTTCTTCAGCACCATAACTCAAAAGTATGGATTCTTCTGTCATCCTTACTCATTGTCCAGCTCTCTGATGCATAGCAAGCAATTGTAAACACGATGGCCTGCATAAGGTACACCTTAGTCTCTGGACTGACATTGTTGCTTCTCAGTACTCTGGAAAGGTCCCTGACAGCAGGCTTTACTAATGCAATTCATCTTTTTATTTCCTTGCTGCTGATTCCAAGAGTGTTGATTGTGGAGCCTCACAAGCTAATCTTGTTAACAATCTCAATCTTTCTCCATATATCATGGTACTGCCAGTTGGCCCAGTGGTGAGAATCTTTGTTTTCTTGATGTTAAGCTTCAATCCAAATTGAAGACTGCAGTCCTTGACCTTCTGCAGCAGACACTTCAGGTCCTCCTCAGTTTCAGCAAGCAAGGTTGTGTCATCTGCATAGTGTGAGCTGTTGAAGTCTACGATTTGATTCAAACAGTTTTGGGTTTTTTGGAACAGATTCTAAATTGGTCTCATGTTACACAGCACTTCCTTCACTCAGATTACAGCTACTGGTTGTGCTGTTATTAGATGCTACCAAGTTGGGTTTTGAACTCACAGTGATCCCATGTAACCAAGTAGAAATGTCTCATAGTTTCCTCAGCTGTAAGCTTCACGGGAGCGGATCATCAAGTTTTTCCCTCTGTGGATATACTGATGGGATCAAACTGCTGACCATTTCCAGTTAGTTGTCAAGCACTCAACTACTCTGCCACTGTTGGTCTTGCCATATGCCTTTGAGTCAGAAATAAGTCCTTGCTGATCCTTTAAGAGGCTGTAAATTGCATGAGAGGAAATTTGGCATCTTTCACCCCTGACGAAGCTGGTGGATTCAAAGTGTGTGCCTTCAGTTTGGCTGCACAACTCCTTACCACTAAGCCACTGGAGGCAATAGGACTCTTTAGTCAAAATCATAAAGATATCAATTCTTCCAAAATGGATTTCTAAATTTAACACCAAATCCTAGTAAAATGTAACCTTTTTTTCTTGATTGAGAGAGGGATAAGAGGGAAATCAGGAGGGACCTGATAAACTAATTCTAATAGCCAACAAAAGAGCAAACTAAAAAGTAGCTAAAACATTTTGAAAGAGGAGTTTTGAAGGGAAATAAATCCCACCAGGTATAAAATATGTAATGAAATCACAATAACTAAAACATGGTGGTATGAACACGTGTGCGGATGTGCCGGTCAATAAAACGAGAGAGATAGTCTAGAAAATATCCAAATGCATATGGAAATTAAGCAGAGAACAAAAATAAAATTGCACTTAAAGTCAGTGATAAAAAGATGGATTGGTCAATAAAAGATGTTAGGACAACCAAATAGCCATTTGGGAAAAAATTCTGTATCTTGCCCCCAAATAATTTCTAGGTGGATCAAAGATTTCCATTTCAAAGTTGAAACCATATTAACAGTGGTTCTCAATCTCTTTGGTTTCAGGATCTCTTTACACTTCTTAAAAAATTGAGAGCCCTGTAGAATTTTTTCTCTTTTGAATGTGGACTATATCTATCAATACTTATTATACTAGAAATTTACATAGAAAAAAATGATAAATACTTATTTAAAACAACAATAAACCCATTATGGATAGTTAACCCAAATAACACATTTTTAAGTACAAATACCTATTTGCCCAAAAAAAGTATTAAGCAAGATTATATTATCTTATATGTTAACAAATCTTATTACTATCTAGCTTAACACTTTTTTAATTTGAAAAAATGTATGCAAAATATGAGACCATTTCATTACATGAAAAATATCAGTTACAAACCTGAAAATGTAGAAAAAGGCATTTTATGCACTTTTCTTGGTAAGACCAATGGCTTTTTAAGAGAAATTATAGCTTGGAACTCAAAAAGTAAGAAACACTGACAAAAAACCCCATATTTTTTTAAAAAACAATTATAGTATTTGTTATTACTGATTTTAATGAAAGTTTACAATCCCTCCCCCCAAGTCCACTCCACCTTGTAGCCTTCATTCTGGACTTCTGTCATGAATATAATATCTAATCATATTTCCTTTTTAAACAATTCTCTCACTTATCTGTTTCAATGCAGTATGTATTATTTATCCCCTCTTTTCTTAGTTTTCCCCCAACTCCAACATCAGTCCCACTTCACAACAGTGGCATTATGCAATATTTGTCCTTTTGTAACCGAGATATTTCACTCAGCATAATGTTCTCCAGGGTCACCCATTTTGAATAATAATTCATGAGTTTCTTGTTTTTCAATGCAGCATAGTATTCCATCATGTGAATATACCACAGCTTTTCTATCCATTTGTTTGTTGATGGGCACTTGGTTTGTTTCCAACTCTTTGCTATTGTAAACAAAACCACAACAAACATGGGTGTGCAAAACCCCAAATTTACAGTGTTGCTGTTGTACATCATAGAGTGAGAATGTATCCACAGCTGACCCTTTGATGGGTTTTCAGAGGCAGTTCATCGCACAGGAGGAAATTGCCCATTTTTCTCCAGTGGAGCAGCTGGTGGCCTCGAACCACATACCTTCAGGATTGCAGTACAACTTCTTGCTATTAGACCACCAGAGCTCCCTCTAATTTACATTACAACTCTTTTCCAACTTTCTCCCTACATTGTGACCCTCAGGAGGGCTGACTGAACACATTACCATATTCTTTGCATTCAGTCTATCTAAAATGAGCTTACTTTTTTTTTTTTTTTTTACATTTTCTTTCATTTTTATTGTCTCTCCTAGGATTCTTTCACATCTATTTCCTGTGAATTCTTTCATGTATGGAAATGTTTTCCCACATACTTCACATCCAAAATGACTCTGTCTTGAGGGAATTTGTGCATGCACAGTTAGATAGATGACCAAGATTAGGAAAAGTGTTGCCACATTCTTTTACATTCATATGATCTCTTTCATGTGTGAATTCCTGCATGTACAGTTAGATTAGCAAGCTGAGGAAAAGTTTTCCCACATTCCTAACATTTCTCTCCTATGTGAATTCTTCCATGTGCATTGAGGTGACCTGATCCTCAAGATCTTTTTCCATATTCCTTACATTTGTAAGGCCTTTCTCCTGTGTGAATTTGTCTATGTGTAACAAGGGTGTGAGTGGTACGAAAGGACTTCCCACCTTCTTTACATTTATATAGTCTCTCTTGTGTGAATTCTTCCATGTATAACAAAGGCTCGAGGATCACAAAATTCTTGTCTACATTCCTTACATTCATAAAGTTTCTCTTAAGTGCGAATTCTTGCAAGTACAGTTAGATGATCAAGTCGACAAAAGTTTTTCATACATCCCTGTCATTCATAAGCTCTCTCTCCTGTGTGAGTTCTTACATGTTTAATGAGGTGACCTGATTGTGAAAATGTTTTACCACCTTCCTTATATTCATAAGGTCTCTCTCCTATGTGAATTCTTGGTGTAGGAAGATCACCTGGTTGCAGAAATGACTTTCCACAGTCCATACGTCAATCTTTGCCACATTTCTTACAGTCATAGCTGGTCTCACCAATGTGAGTCCTTGACAGGTTTACATCTAAATGACTGCTTTGCAAGCAGGAAAGATTTGTAATTCTGATGCAAGTTTTCCCAGGGTGCTTGCCTTCAATCCCTTCACATAGGTCCTCTACTGTTTCACTTCTCAAATAGTTCTCTTGGATTTTAGGTAGATTTACCTTGACACAGAATTTTTAAATTTTTCATAATGTGGAATACCAGGCATGGGTAGTCTGTAAGAATCTCAACTGAGTATGTTCAGGGGATAATGTTTCTCCATCATTAATATTCTGAATGCCAACTGAGTTCACATTAGTCAAGGTTTCCATTATCACATCCCTGTTGAGTCTCTTCTGAGCAACATTTAGCAAAGTCCACTCTTTCAGGCTAAAGAGGATGACAACATCTTCAAGAAACAGTGTTTCCATTTCCTTGGTCTACTTCCTGCAATTCTAAAGGAATGTCTTTGCTAATTCCAAGAAATCCCTTCAAGAAGACTGTTCTAAGTGGGAGAAAAGCACAGGGTAATTTGGAGGCAGATGAATAAATGTTTGGACCACACTCCCTTCTCAGTGGCTGAAATCCTTCCTTGGAGTTTACAGAAATGCACAGTGTTCTCTCATTGTCCTCCTCAGCTGTCTGGACTGGGCTAGTTCTCTTTGTACCACACTTGAGACCTAAAAGAGACTATAAGAGCAACACATTTCCTCAGAGAAGACGTATCATTTCCCTGTGAATGCACCACTCCAGCTACTCTGCGAAGGAGGTCCGTGAGCCTGACAGGAAGTGTGAGTCTCCCAGAGAGACCAGGAGCAAACAATCAAGCGAGAGCTGCATCCTCCAACTCAGGAGAGGAGATGCTGTACTCTCTAGAAAATACTTTTATACCTGTTCTACCATCAGTCTGTTACAGTATGTTGTTTTGATTTAGGTGTGTAAGGAGGGGAGACCTAAGAACAACAATAAACCTATCTTACATATCTTCATTGATGATACAGCAACTCAACCAGTAGTAGTTTCTTAAAGACAAATTATAACGTGGAATCCCAAACCATGGCCATAACATGACATTTTTTAAAAATTAAATTCATTGGTCTATCTTATACCTTGAAAAGATCTTTTTCTCACCGATGATTTTTTTACATCACACACTGGTCATTTGGTAAATCTTGGTTTCTAAGTCACACCAATATTCCAAATGCTGATACACTTCATTCAACAATATTTTAAAATCCACATTTTTTAACATCACCACCAATCTCATTAAGAAAATATTTAAATACTGTGAAATTAACAAGATCAAGGTACAGATACAAATTGTCCAAAATTTGGATTTTTCTTGAAAACTTGGATTTTCTCATTGGCAACAAAAACCACCAATAGTTTTCCTTAAACTAACAGTCTCACTTCCTTCATTTTTAAGAACAAGTTCTGTCAAATATCCAGGATGAACAACTATAGTCTATCAGTTGTTCTTCCATGTAAAAGATCATGTTGCATAATAAATGTAGTTTGTTCATTTCAGGACATAACCATGGGGGTGCTTTCACTCAAGACAAACCACAGTACTTACGTCTGCAACAGACTACGAGTGCTTCCATTTCATAACACACAGCCCGTTGCTGCTCTATACATGTAAGGATCAAGATTCAATAAAATTATTTTTTACTGCTTTATGAAACAAACTTTTTAAGTGAAACTAGCTCTTTTAAAAAACTGAGAATTTTGTGCTACTGCCTAATTTTGTGGTAAGGCACCAAGAAGGCTTACTTCCTGTAATTTTTACATCATCAGCTCAAATGCAACACAGTGGAAAAAGCAAACAGCATGTCAGTATCCACAGCAAATTGTGCTGCTAATCCAAAGATCACTTGCTAGTTTCTAGCCATTTGAATCCACTGGTGTTCTTCTGGAAAAAAAGATACAAGTCTCTTCCTGTTACAATTTCCATTCTCAAAAACCTGAGGGAAAGACATTCTCTATGAGTCTAAACTGACTGTCTGACAGTGTTGCTTTTGTGAGGTGCTGGAGTTGTCTACTCATAGTAACCCTATGGACAACAGATTTGAATCTTGTCCTACCCTGCCCCACTCTCATGATTTCTGGTAGGCTCACATCCATTGTTACAGTTATTGTGTTGCTTTGACTCCTTAAGGGGCTTCCTCTCTTTTCCTGACTGCCACTTTTTCCTGTACGATGTCTTTCTCTAAGGACTGACCCAGCCTTGACAACATAGACAAAGTATATGAGACAGAGTTTCACCATCCTTGCCTCTATGGAGCACCCTGGACGTACTCCCTCTGAGACAAACCTATTTCTTCTTTTGAAAGTGCACTAGACATCCAAACTCTTCCTCAATACCACAATTCAAAGACCTCAATTCTTATTCTTCATGTTAGGTACTATCAAGTCAATACAACTCAGAGCAACTCTATGAAAAACAGATTTGAACCTTGTCCTATTGTGTGCCATCCTTATCATTTCTGACATAATTGAGTGCATTGCTGCAGTCGTGTCAATGCATCTTGTTGAGGGTTTTCCTTTCTTTCATCAGCCCTCGACCTTTCTTTTTATCAATTATAATGTTGTTACTGTTATGTGCCATATCATAGCAACCCTATGTGCAACAGCCCTAAACCCTGCTCTATCTCTTGCCAATCTTATTGTCTTTGACACACCTACTCCCATTACCCCAGTCACTGAGTCAATCCATCTCATCAAGGGTCTTCCTCTCTTGCCCTGTCCCTCCACCCTCCCAAGCATGGCATCCCTCTCCAAGGACTGGTCCCTCCTTGCAACATGTCCAAAGTGTGTCAGACGAAGCTTCAGAATCCTTGCTTCCAAGAAGCAGCCTGGCCTTATCCTCTCCAGTACAAACATGTTTGGTCTCCTCACAGTCCATGGTATATTCAACACTTCTCCAGCACCACAGCTCAAAGGCATCAACTCTCCTTCTATCATCCATAGTCATTGTCCAGCTCTATGATGCATAGTAAGTAATTGCAAAGACCATGGCTTCAATCGGGTGTACCTTAGTATCCAGACTGGATATTCAGTAATCTATTCCAACACCAGAACTCAAAGACATCAGTTCTTTTCCTGTTATTCTTGTTCACTGGTCAGCTCTCAGACGCATGGCAAGTGATTTTAAAGACTATAGCCTGAATCAGGGGCACCTTAGTCTCCAGACTGACATCATTGCTCTTCAGTACTTTGGAGAGGTCTCTGACAGCAGACTTTCCCAATGCAATTCATCTTTTAGTTTTCTGGCTGCTGGTAGGTACCAAGAGTGTTGATTGTAGAGCCAAGCAAACTGAAGCTGTCAACAATCTCAATCTCTTCATCATCTCTCATGATGCTGCCAATGAGCCCAGTGGTGAGAATCTTTGTTTTCTTGATGTTGAGCTTCAATCCATATTGATGGCTACAGTCCTTGACCTTCTGCAGCAAGTGCTTCAGATCCTCCTCAGTTTCAGCAAGCTGGGTTGTGTCGTCTGCATAATGCAGATTGTTGATGAGTCTACCTCCAATCCTGATGCCACACTTCTCTTCATAGAGCCCAGCCTCCCAGATAATCTGTTCTACATATAGATTGAAAAGATATGGAGGTAGGACACATCCTTGATGCACACCCTTCCCAATTTTGAATGATTCAGTGTTTCCTTGCTCTGTTTTGATGACTGCCTCCTGCTCCAAGTATAGGTTTCGCATAAGCACAATCAAGTGCTCTAGGATTCCCATTCTTCTGAGTCAGGCACAGTTTGTTGTGACCCACACAGTAAAATAAATGCCTTTGCATAGTGAATGAAACACAGATAGACATTCCTCAGGTACTCTGTTTTCAGCCAAGATCCATCTGACATTAGCTATAATATCCCTAGCACCATAACCTCTTCTATTAGAAGACAATTTATTCTGACTACATATAAAGAGTTTCTTCTGATGTTCATTCTAGTTTGTTCTTTCTCCTCTGTTTTTCTAATGACCATTTGCTCTCTTCATTAATTATATCATTGATGTTATCCTACAACTCATAAG